GATAAATGAACTTCGATAGAGATAAGGTGTGATAAATGAAGTCAAGATAGATTTTGGAGATACCAAGCCCTATCTAATGCCTATCAAGATTTAGATAACACTAATAATAACATAGTATCCATTTGATTGGGGCTAAATTCCATGGAAAATGTCATGAAGTCAATTTCTACTGTGGTTGTTTGATACGAAAGTATAAATTGAATTCGTATTTCAAGGTACGATGAACTCAATTTCTATTGTGGTTTTACTTCAAATTTCTGTTTGAACATCAATAGAGTAAATTCAACATCTCTAAGACTTGGAAAGACAATCTTGGCCATAACATGATCGCCAATTTCACATGGAAATGTAGCTACACAACGTACCTGCAGCTCTTAGGCAATTAACAAATAAGGCCTTCTCCTCCAGGATGTACAGCAATTCTGTATGGCAAATCACTACCAGTTCCGAGCTTTCCCACCTTAACAATGAAATCACGCCCTTTTCAAAATCCTCACAGTAAATACTATACGCTCACAATTCACAAATACATCTATAAATCATAAACATAAATAATAAATCAAAAAATCGCTGGCTCCCGGTATGCGTTTTCTTTGCAATTGAAATTTGAGGATGGGTACAACAAAAACACCAACATAACCTACAAACTACAATCTGAAAGAACAAAAAATAAAACAAAAAATAAAAAATGTATCTCTTCCCTAGTGAAATTACAAAATTGAAACAAAGAAGAATAGTATGTAAATACATCATCAAGAGAATCAATTGAAATCTAGATTATCTCTACATGCATTCCTACCTCATCAATTTTTCAGACATAAATACATGCAGTTGTTTCATTTAAAATTTGAAAACAAGAAAAATAATACCAACTTTGCCAGTCCATTGTAGAATTACGATTTCCGAAGGCCATACCTCAAAAGAGAGCAATTCATTATCTACCACTTTAAAATGTTTGACACAATAAAAAGAAATAGTTCATTATTAAAACTTCACGAAAAAGAAATGTCCTCATTATCACCCCAGGAGTTAATAGTTGAACAATTCTATGTGCAAGCTTTGGAAAACCAATTTGCACAACGAGTTCATGAGCTCCATAATTTGACTATAATGGAAAGCCAACACAGCAGGTGTGTATTAAGTGTGTGCAGGTGGCAACGAATGATCATCTGCTCTTAAAGGCAAGCACCACCAACATAGGTCAATTGAATTGAAGTCAAGAATTCATTCCCCAAAATATTCAAATGCAAACCACTGGTTGAA